AAGCAAATGTGGTGAAGAAAGCTGATGGTGCCCGGCTATCAAAAGATATAGCATCTGGGGTCTTAAAGGTTTGAAGGTAAGGGGGGACAGAAAAAGGGGAGGGGAAAATGCTCTCGTGTTCTTCTGGAGTCTGCTCGCAATGGCGGATTCAAAGTATTATCATTTTAAGCGAAATGATGTTAGATTTTTAAAAGCTTGCCACTCAGCTGACTCGCTCAGCCTCCACACATGTCTGAATTGCCGGGGAGGGTTGACTACAGTTGACCTCTGTCATTGTCTTCCCAGTTCGCTGACTTCAAGTGTCCACACAGCTTCACCGCTTCCAATACTACTTCGTTCTGCTGGGAGGTGGTGGGGGGAGTTACCGTCCAGTCGACTCATGAATGTGACACCGCCAGGCCCGCCTCACTCTGGTGGTCAGTGACGGGAGGACCGGCTGTTGTGGTCCACCAGGCAGGTGGACACTGGCTGATCTTCCGATTGCAGGCCTCTCTGCCTAGTCCACCCTGGTCTGGAACTGGGTTGAAGTCCTTTTAACATCACCGCAACACACAAGCCGCCGCAATGGATAGCAGCTATACGGGAGGTGCATTCGCTGGGAATCGAACTCAGGTCTCTCACATGCGAGGCAAGAATTCTACTCCGGAACCCTAGTGCCCAGATTCGTTATAATGGCCACTCAGCACTTAAGATAAAACTAAGATTTTGGAACGTCTCAGGGATAGCAGTTGGAGGACCTGGTTTACTAGCTAGTGATAATCGAATAAGGAAAAGTGGTCCTTCTAACAGCCCTGTTTTTAAGAAACCTCCACGGGTGTTTTAAAAGGCTGAATGTTGACATGCAAGCTCTAAGTGCTGTAAAGCCAGTCTTTACTGGGCCCCGGCAAGAGACAAGGGTTCACCTGAGTAATAGAAACTAGCCTTTGTCCAGCCAATATTTCCAGACAGGGGCACATCTCTAGAGTCTACCTGGCATCCTCAAACTACGGCTGGTGGGCCACAGGCAGGCCGCCAAGGACATTTATCTGGCCTGCAGGATGTTTTTGCCCCGTTTTGTTTTTACTTCAAAATACAATATGTGCAGTGTGCGTAGGAATTTGTTCATGGTTTTGTTTTGTTTTTTTGAAACTATAGTCCGGCCCTCCAATGGATCTGAGGGACAGTGAACTGGCCCCTGTTTAAAAAGTTTGAGGACCCCTGGGTCTAGACATTACGTGAATTCTTGCACTGTGCTTTATGTAAGTCATCAGTAGTGTTAATTCAATAGGAATTCAACGGAATTAAAAAACATAATTGCTTTTCAAGGACCATTCTTTGAGGGGCAGGCGAGAAAAGCCGCCAACAAAAGTCCTTGATCAGGTGTCACTTACCCACTTGGCCACTGGGTGCCAGGGCAGCTCTGTCTGGTTCTCCCTGGCTTGTTGATGCTGGTGGGACTAATTCATGCCTTGCCGCACACAAACCACGGATGCTCATGACATTGACAACGAATCTAGTGACTCACGAGGCTTGATCCCTTGGAAAAACTCCTCCCAGTAATCTCTTCTAAATCACTTAACAATGGTCTTCTCAATGCACTCGATGGCTTTCGGGAACGAGTGGGTTTGTATTTATGTTTGTAGAGGGTTTTGTTCAATTAAAGGGCACCTCGGTGTCCCACAGCCTCATCGAAATCAAAACTGGACTAGCAAATACAGTCACGTCCAACAGCGACAAAGCACCACAGCGCTCCCGCTACCAAGATCTGAGCACCGCCAACAGGGCACGGGGGGCGAAGGAGTCCAGGGGGTGTTCTCGGCCCTGACCTGGGAAAGTAGCCACTCAGGTGCTCTCTCCTTATGTCTCCGACTTCACCCCCTTCAATGGCAATCACCTTGCCAATTCCAAACCAAAAGTCCTCAAACGCTGGGAAATCCCAGACGACTGGGACTTGCTGAGAAAAGGGGAAAGAACATAATTTTCTATGTAAATTCCCTGTGAGCAGCTATTTTTCATTTTCAGGATATTCTCTACCTTGATCTCTCTCTTGTTTTGGCTTTGTGGTCTTGGCGATGAGAAGGTAGGATATTCACAGTGTCTACATCATATATCTGCACTACAAGAAATGTCGGATCGCTTTCATCTCTTTCTCACCTCCAAAGGCAGGGTAGCAAACCTAACACGTGTGCTTTGGAGGGGTGTGAAATATCTTTTTAAAATCTGAATCTTGACATGGATGCCCCTGTCCCCACTTCTATTCAATATCGCCGTGGAGGTCCTAGCTAGCAACAAAAGGACATTAGAGGCATTCATCTGGGGGAGAAAGAGGTGAAACTATCGTTATTTGCAGATGACATGATTCTAAACAATGAAAACCCCGAAAGCTCCACAACAGGAGTGCTGCTCCCCCCTACACACACACACACACACACACACCAGAGCATAACTCAAAGGGAGAGCAACAGAGCAGCAAGGGGAGCAACGCAACAAGGTCCCTGAGGAATTCTGAAAATAGACTTCAGACTGGGGTGGGGGGGCAGGGCTTGGCACCTCATCACACCTGATCAGAGAACATTCACACAAGTCAGCCTGGAACTATTCATAGGCTATTTTTTGTTTTGTTGTTTTTCTTTTCTTTTCTTTTTTCATGTCTATCTATGTAAGATAGGCAGGATAAATAATCCCAAGGAGAAAACAACAGGATGGATGTTTCTGGGGGGCCAGAGGAGAGGAGGAGGTAGGGGAAAAAGAGGGGGAGTCAACAAACTCAGGGAAAAGGAAATAATAAGAGATCTAAAATCCATGGCGAGGAGGGCATAGAATGCCTGGTGGGGTGTGGTCAAGTGCAACGTAGCCGAGAAGAAGTACAGCAAGCCGAATGAAGGTCGAACATGATAGTGGGACAGGAGAAAAGTAAAAGGAAATAGAAGAAAGAACTAGGAGGCACAGAGGTATAAATACATGTACAAATGTGAATATATTTATATATAACGATAGGGATATAGGTTTATGTACATATATTTATAGGTTAAGCATTAAGGTAGCAGATGGACGCCCTCAATGCAAGAACCTTTGTTCTAATAACCTGTCATTCTGTGATGGTCACTTTCCCAACACGATCGCTGAAGACAAAATGGGTGCATGCGCTAAAGTGGTGGAGAAAGCTGATGGTGCCTGGCTATTACAAGATATATCGTCTGGGGTCCTAAAGGTTGTAAGTTAAACAAGTGGCTATCTAGCAGAGAAGCAACAAAGCCCACATGGAAAAAGCACACCAACCCATTTGATCATGAGGTGTTGACAAGATCAGGTATCAGGCATCAGAAGACCCAAAACAATCATACAGATGAGAACTCGGCAGGGAGGGGGGTTGGAATGGAGACCCAAAGCCCATCTGTAGACAACTGGACATCCCCTCACAGAAGGGTCACAAGAAAGGAACGAGCCAGCCAAGGTGCAGTATAGCATCGGTGAAACACAACATTCCTCTAGTTCTTTAATGCTTCCTCCTCCCCACTATCATGACCCCAGTTCTAGCTTACAAATATGGCTAGACCAGAGCATGTACACTGGTACAGATAAGAGCTCTCAACACACAGAATCCAGGCCAGATACACCCCTTAGGTCCAATAATGAGAGTAGCAATACCATCAGAATAAGGGGAAAGGGGACGGGGGGAAGGGTAGCCAATTGCAATGATCAATATACAACACCCCACACACACACTCAGGGGAAAAGACAACAGAAACATAGATGGAGGGACACAGAGGATGGTATAAAATATGAAAATAAAAATAATGTACAAATCATCAAGGGTTCACCAGGGTAGGAGGGTGAGGGAGGGAGGGGAAAAACTAAAGCTCATACCAAGGGCTCAAGTAGAAAGAAAATGTTTTGGAAATGATGATGGCAACATATGTGCAAATGTGCTTGATACAATTGTTGTATGGATTGTTATAAGAGCTTGTTAACAGCCCCCAATAAAAGGATTTATTAAAATTTGTAAAATAACAAATTTCAAAAATCTGGATCTTAAATTAGGGACGGGTCGTGCTAGCATCGTTAACTTTCATTTATTTGGAATGGTTGGGGAAATGGTTTCCTCTGACTAACTCATTATTGTTGTAACTGTGCATTACAAGCAATTCCAGGGGAATCACCCTTGTCTCCTTCCTTCCAAGGTGAGTGAGTGCAGTCAGAGTAAATCTCTGCTTCTCTTCCCCGCCTTTGTTCACTCCACCCACCAGGAAATGTAGGAGGAGCAAAGCTGGTCCACCTCTGTCCTTTTTAACTTTGGGGAGGTAGGTACCCACAGAACCTGATGCTCTTCCAGAAGCAATCACTCCTACACCTGGGGTGGTCAAGCCTGGCCTGCAACTGTGTGGGTAAGTCCAGCTCAATCTATGGCTCACTTAGCAACCCATGATCTCTCATACTCCTACAGCCTCCAACTTCATCGCTAATAGTATGACAGTATGGTCTCTATCGGGCCTGCTCTTAGTTTTTTGCTTTTGTTTTTTTCAATATGATCAGAATTTGGTTTGTTAAGAAGGGGTGCTATTTGCTGAGCTAACTCAAGACCTGAGTTACACAGTATCGTGATTCTGATAAATACTATTATTACGTTGCCATCAAGCTAAACCTCTGTCAAACCTCTAAAACCAAATCAATTGCTTTTTAATGTTATGTAGAACGTTATCGTTTGTCATTCTAATAAATTTCAACTATCACGTGACCCTCCTAGAGCGGACTGACATTAAATGGTAGTTGAACTATGGTAAAAACAAAGCACATTCAGAAGGCACCGTGATGAACTGTCCGTGATGAACTGTCCGGGGTCCTGCTTTCCCAAGCTCATCCCAACCCAAAAGCAAACCCCAGCCTCATGCCCACTGCCACGCTTTGCAACCCCAAACAGTTTCTAAGGCAGTTCATCTAGACAGCAGCAGACGGCCACGTGTGGAGCCGCGGCTGGGCTTGAACAACAGCCTTTGCAGTCAGCAGCCACAACCCAGTCAGGGCTCATGAAACACCAAACAAAACCCTCATCCCCTGAAGCTAAACTATAACCACTTGAAAGTCAAATGCTTGTGTCTTCACACACTCACAGAAAGTCGAGCGTCCTTTGGAGAAGTACTAATAAGTTACTTTTAAAAAAAAATCCCATTTGCTGGTTGAGATTTCTAGAAATTTTAAACATCTCCTCTTCTCCCACTTAGAAGCTACCCATTAAATTTCATGAGCATTCATCGCCGATTGCTCACCCTTTGAATACGTGTGTCTTATAACTACAATTATACACAAAATAGGCTTTTATGGAGTCATCAAAGCTAAGGTGACTTAGTAAAAAAAGAGCCAGAGAATTATTGGGGTTAAGTAAAATGATCACTGGATTGGGAGACCTGGTCACCAGTCCTAGCTCTGCAGTTAAGCAGCTGCAAGGTTTTAGATGTAACCTCTCTAGATCACAGAAGAACCGATGCCTCTGAGTTGTGGTTTTGGTCAAGAATAATTGAATTCACATGGAAAGCCAAAAGAGTGAACAAATCTGTCTTAAGGAAGGACAGTCGGAATGCTCCTTAGAGGGAAAGACAGAGAGACTCCATCTCCTGAATTTGGACATGCTCTCAGGAGGAACCTGCCCCTGAAGAAGGACATCATGCTTGGCAAGGCTGAGGGTCAGGAAAAAAGAGGAAGACCTTGGTGAGCTGGACGGACACAGTGGCCGCAGCCATGAGCTGCAACTCGACACTTGTGAGGAGGCTGTGGGGCCAGCACGGCTTCATTCTGCTGCCCCTGGGTCACCAAGAGCTGGACCTGACTCGTCACACCTAACAAAAACAGCACATTTCATTTTCCTGTCAGTAGCACGAGAGGGTCACCTGCAGGGGGGCTGTGAGTTGGAATCAACTGGACGGCGCGCAACAATAACAGCAGTCCCCACTCGGGTGGACTCCAGGGCCTTCTACACGGGCGTGGCCATGCAGATTTTTATTAGCATATTTGCCTATGCATTACCACTGCTCCATCTCCCGCACCAGAGGCTTGGAATTTGAAAAGCTAAATGTGACGGAGATGTTCAGATTCCAGGCTTCTGAAGGATGAGGAGATGGGTTAAAGCTAGCTATCTCTATCCGTTATTTTGTGTTATTTCCATGGCTTGTTTTGGTTTTTTACAGCGGAGACGATACACAACAAAATTACATTCTCAATCTGTACACACCTTAAAAAAAAAAGGTAAAAATGAAAAGACACGGGTGAACTCTTCTTTAAAGTTTTCAGGAAGTCCTACCTTCATCGACAGAATCTGAACTGCTGCTTTTGTCCAGGGAAAGATACTCATTTGGGTGGAGGGCCAGCGATTTCGGCGGCTCTCTGCTGAGCCTCTCTTCTGAAGTGAGGGGAGGGCTCCTCTTGATCTGCTGCTCACGCTGGGGCTCCTCCTTTCCTGACCCCTAACCGGGAAGAAAAACAAAACCCCCACAAAACCCAAGTTTAAAGATGGGGTCAAAAAAAATCTGATTATAAGCTTTGATTTTACAGTGAGCACTTTAAGAGTAAGACTGCTTTGATAGGCTATTCTTTGAAAAGCAGTTGCAGCATTTTGTTTGTATTTGTATCGCATTTCCAATGATCCTGAAGGTCAAGATAGAAAATATTAATAAACGGTACATACTGTTCTAAAGTCATCTTCTGCTATCATAATGAATACCAAATTTATGAAGAACAATATTCCAAAGAGCACAGCTAGTGAATATTAGGTGAGTGGCTTAAACAGGAGAGAAAGGGAGTGAGGATTGAAGAAATGGAACCACAAATTCTTTGAGGTGTGTGGCAGTTACAAAATCCCCCCTCACCTTGAGAAGGGGTGGGGTCTAGCCTGTCAATCAGGTCGCTGCTTGATGACCTCACGTGGAGGTGCAAAGGAGATAAATAGCTCACTGGAGGCCAGATACACTCACACTTGCTGCAACACATTCCTGTTGACAAGCCACATGAAGCTATACTGATGGCAGCCAAAGCCTTGGAGCTGGAGGAGCCACGGGGAGACCCACACGAGTGCTAAAATGCTCCCACCGCCACTGGATTCACAAGACTTCCCCCCACCCACTGGCCTGTGATCTTCCTACACTCAGGGTCATTGCATGTGCTGCATGAGTCTGAAGAGGAATTTATAGACTGGTATCCTACATATGGGCTATTATTGGACGTATGGACTTGACCTGGACTGGGCTGGGATGTTTTCTTCATGTACAATTGCTCTTTGATATCAAGCTCTCTCTTACACGAGTGTCTCTGGATTTCTTTCTCTAGTCAACCCGGACTAACACAAGGTGTAAGAGGGAAAGGAGTCAAACCAGAGCAGTTTCCCCCCGACAATCCCTGCCCCATTATCTCAAGGACGAGCATTCACCCATCACCCAAGACCTGTAACCGAGGAGAAAAGGGCACGAAAACAGAGAGAGCAAGTCCCATCCAATTACAGTAGGGGAGAGAGGGTTTTTAAGAGACCTCAATCTCGCAGTAAACTCTTATGAACACAACTGACTTATTGTTAAGGAATTCGGCATTAAAACATACCCAATAGATGATGCTATCAGGACTTTCTGGGAATGGTTTAATAAAGGCAGGTCGTTCTGTCAATAAACTGAACGTTAGGCATTAACGTTTGAATGTCCTTGAGATGTTAATATTCACGTAGAGAAGTATTATAACTAGGCTTCATAGGACAATGCAAAAACATCTATTTAAACTGTATAGAAAATGAGTGGACTGCATTTTCTGTATGGCAGGCGACGGCGAGCAGAATGTACATATGTAATCCTGCTACCTCGTAGGATGCTGTGCAGCTCTGAGAGCCCCAGGGAGGCTAAAGCAGGGCAACACCCGGGAGCCAGGGCACAATCTATGAAAGGCTTGTGCCTTTAATACTCATAGGATTGATTCTCCGAGCAGCGATGACTGCTAACATTTAAAACTTGATTTCCTTGGGAGTGAGTTGTGTAATGCAAACCAGCACGCTTATCTAACAGACCCAGGGTCTCCTTAGCAGAGGCTCCAACCAAAACCAAACTCACTGCCATTGAGTCGATTTTGACTCATAGCGACCATTCCAGGTCAGGGTAGAACTTCCCTTAGGGGTTTCTGAGACTGTAACTGTTTATGGGAGTAGAAAGCCTCGTCTCTCTCCCTCGGAAAGGCTGGTGGTTTCCCCCCTTGCATGAGCAGTCGGGCGCATAACCAACCTGGCCGCCACCAGGGCTCTCCTTCTCAGCAGAGTAAAGTTCTCAGTAGCCTCATGCATATCCCTCCTACTGTTGCTACCTGAGCTATCCAGAAAGTTCATGGAAAAATTCCCTGATCGTTTAATTCCCATCATTCCACAAACTTTTTGAAGCCCCTTGTCTTTCCCACTAAAAAGAATAACAAGAGAGGCTGAAAAAGGCACAGTCCCTGTCTCTGAGGAGCTGACATCTGGGGGACGCTTATTTTTTTCGTATACTTTCTATAGTTCCTGAGTTGAGTATTCTTTTTATAACTTCAAAAAAACCTTAATTTCCATTTGGGGGGAAGTGATTTTTCTCTTGGATTTATGGTGCTTTAGGTGAAAGTTTACCACGCGAATGAGTTCCCATCGGGACGTCTGTACATAAAGCGCTGTGACATGCCACAGGCCCACGAAGAGCCAGCGCTCTCCCTGTTGGAAACGTTATTTCTAGAACCTGCTAACGGTGAAAATGTAGCCGAGTGTGACCTAAGGTACGGCTTGACATCTGGGTCTCCCCAGGCCCTCGGGTGCAAAAGGAAAGAGAGGATTGAACTTCTGTATTGCTTATATTCTGCAGCCTGAAATGTCTCTGCCTCACTGAACACATTCACTGATGGATCTCAAAACACTGAATTATGTCACGCCATTCTTTTCCTTTACTGGTAGTGCCCAAACTGACAGCTCCCTGTGCCCAGAGCGGAGGCAGAAGCACCAGTCAGGGCGAAGGTAGGGAGGGCTCAAGCAGAGATCAGCAGCTGGAAGAACTCAGTCCCCCAAGTCAAACGTTCATAAAAGGACAGATGTTACCAAGCATTCCCAGTCTTACTACTTTGCTGGAATGGAATGCCTTGGGGAGGGCAGAGGGGTCAGCATCCGGAATCACCTTCCTTCCTGTCTCCTAAAGATCCCTAGAGGGAGGGAGAGGTCCCAGAGCAGTGGTTCTCACCTTTCCTAATGCTGCGACCCTTTAATACAGTTCCTTATGTGGGGTGACCCCCCCCAACCATAAAATTATTTTCGTTGCTACTTCATAACTGTCATTTTGCTACTGTTATGAATCGGGCGACCCCTGTGAAAGGTTCGTTCATTTCCCAAAGGGGTTGCGACCCACAGGCTGAGAACCGGTGTCCTAGAGAAGCCCACACCGCAGAATCCGACGGGGCTAACTGATGACGGTGGCCTCGAACAAGCAGATGACTTGAAGGTCTTTCACGTATGTGGATTCTATTTCAATGGGTCCCCAACAATTACTGAAAAGAACCCCTGACAGTCCCACGGGGAGAAGAGAAAAGGCCAATGCTGGCCATGCACACAGTCACCTTCGATTATCTTAATGGTTTATGGTGTGCTTGGATCGGTCAATGAATCCTTACGGTGTGCTCGGGATCATCCAAAGCACTTTCACATCCATTCATTCACTTAATCCTTATAAAAGCCCACTGAGGTATTTTTCTCCTAACCTTACAGTGGAGAGAAAGGAGGCAGAGAGAGGGTAAGTCATCCAGGCCATTCAATGGCCGAGGGAGGATGCTCCTCTCAGCAGCCTGGCTCCCAAGTCCTGCTCTGAATCCAGAAAGCCTACTCGGGCCCCCACCTGGCTTCTCAAAGAGCAGAAAACCTGTGCTGCAGAAAACCTCCCTCAGAAAATGTGGCCTCCGGATACGCTTCCCCTCACTGTGGGGACGGGGGCTCGAGCCTGGCTGAAGAGGAGCCGGGAACATGCTGTCCTGGGGCAACAAAAGGCGCCATCCAGGAGGATGGGTCACTTCAAAAGAACACAGGAGCCTAAAGGAAGGGGTTCTAGCTGGCAAAGAAGGAACAAACTGAGAAGCAATTAGAAGCAAGACTCCAAGGGCCTAAAAAAAATTTTTTTTTGTTAATCTGTATGCTTATAACACACCTAACCAGTCCAGTCTTGATCCTTGCCCCACACCTAAGACATTCTGGACTAGTTCTTTTTTTTGTTTGTTTGTTTGTTTTCATTCTGGACTAGTTCTGTCTTCAGTTGTGGCTCCATGTAATGTGCGCAGTAAATCATCTCTTCTGCTGTCTCAGCTGAAGAATCAAAAAAAGCAATGCTTGAGAATATAAAAAAAGAAAGAAACTAAACAATCAAAGAGCCCAAGAGTTCTCCAGCCTGGCCTGCTTCATCTATTGTTACGGAAACAAGCTGCTCGTGGGGAGGTCCCATCCTGGTGGTCACAGCTGGTTCTTTCCACCACACACACCACTCAGCCCAGGAAGAACGCTGCCAAGGATGTGTTTCTCCTTTGGCAATACTTTTAATGATCTTTACAGACTGATACCCAGGGAGTCACTGGAGAGATCGGCACCCAACTCTCCCAGGGCAAAATCGCACATGGTACCCACGTGATCATCGTTGCTCTTTCACGTAAAACTCTCTGCTACCTTGAGTTTTAAAAGATATTGCACAATGTCCTTTACCAATGGACACAGGGTCGTGTCAGGTACACTTTAAAGGGGCATCCCATACTAACCCCTTTGGGTGCATTTCCACCGACGGACTCTGTTTCGGAAATCCGACCCACTGAGTCACGGGTGAAGCTGATTGACTTGGATAATTTTTCGTCTCTCTCCCCGGGGTCATCCAAGCTGCTTCTTCCAGGGCTCCTGTAAGAAGCACATCGCGATAAAACCATAAGCAAGGTCAACGCCACACAAACACGTGATTCGGTCTTGTCACTGAGGTCCTCTTTCTTATAAGAAAGCGCTTGACCACACAGGGATGACTGTCAAATGGACACGTCTTTACCTGCAGTGAACTACGTGCACATTGACACTGCTGCTGAAAATAAGATCTGCTCATATCTGATTCTGTAAACGTCAGACGCCGTTGGAAAATTAACCAAGGACACATGGCCAAAATGAAAAAGTAATCAGTGTTTATAGGTATATGAAACCCAGGACTGATGAACCTGTAGGGAGAGCAAGAAGAATATGGGGGAGGGGGAAGTGGGGGTGGGGTGGGTGGAAGTGGTCAAAGGGAGATGATGTCAAGGAGTCCATGTGGAAAAAGGATTGTTGGAAAACGATTGTGGTAGGAATTGTACATTCTGCTTGGCGTGATTGAAATACGGAAGATGTTATACGTATTAAATCCCAACTAATAAAAAAAGATGTGACTATGAACAAAAAGAAAGAAAAGAAAAACCAATCAAAAGGAGATGGCATGTTTGAGCTCAGTGTGTGGACAGCCCTTGTCAGGTGCAGGGTGGGGGCTGGCCACCAGTCGACCCCTCAGCTTCGGATCTTCGGTGGCTCCGTCCTGGCCAAGACGGAACATTCCTCCTGGGAGGTGGAAGCTCCCGGAGGCAGTTCCACTGAGTCAGTTCCAAGTCATCGCACCCGCCGGGGCAGACGGGCACCGCTCGCTCCTCGGGCTTTCCAGCCTGGACATCCTTCCAGGGCAGACAGCCTCATCTTTCCCCCACGTGGGCACACAGGGCCCATGAGTCAGTCCACCGTCAATCAGCCCACCTTCCCTTCTCTTTCTCCGCAGGCCCAAGCTTAAGAAACAGCTGTCAGATAAATGATCATGGGACCAAGGCTACTGTAGTCTGGGAGGTCCAGTGACTCCTTCAGGAACAAGGAGAAAGGACGTTCGTTGATTGGATGTCAAAGAACACAGCCTTTTCCAGCACCCACTCCCACCTCTATCTCATATACAGTGAACCCTCGCCACTTCGTGCTTCGACTTCCGCGGCTTCACTCTATCGCGGTTTTTGCGTAACAGCACCCACTGCCTACACCCGCTCCTTCAGAGGAAAAAGACGGCGACCCACCTGTAGAGTACATCCCTTAAGTCATTTCATAGGCTATTGATTACAGTATTTGTAAGAACTATGTATAATAATACTGTATGTGAAATATGCAATACTGTAAACTAGATGCCATAAATAATATAATAAATAATAAATGATAATTGTAATGTCCAAAATGTTTTACTGTATTTTCCCTTTTTCGTTTAATAAATTGGGTAATACGAGTGTAATGGTGACTAAAGGGTGTTTTTTCATGTCCTCTATGCTCTAACTACGAAAATATTTGACTTACAAATAAGGAATCCTACTTCGCGGAATTTCATTTATCACGGTAGGGTCTAGAACCGATTAACCGCGATGAACGAGGGTTCGCTGTAGTCCCTGCTACTTACAGACCGAGGACTCTACTCCTAAAATAAAGTAATCGTCGGGTATACTGCTCTGACGACAAGACAGGAAAGCTAGAGAGCCCTTCAGTCCTACCCTGCTCTGCCCCAATCATGCTCCGTCAGGTCACTTCGAAGCCAGGCCCAAGAGCAGGGCTCTGAGAAACCAGGCCAGAGAGACGGCTCCCTGGAACCAGCCACCAGTTACCTGCGTTTTCGGATTTTAGGGATGGAGAGGCATGTGGGAACATAATCAGAGAAAGAAAGGAAATGCCAAACTCATTACCAGGAAGACTGTTCCTGATACAAAGAGACCTACAGGACAGAGTAGAGCTGCCCCTGTGAATTCCCGAGAATGTGATCTTGACAGAAGTAGACCACGTCAGTTTTCTCCTGTGCAGTGGCTGGTGGTTCGAACAACTGACCCGGTGCTCTGCAGCCAGATGCATAACCCGCTTCACCCCCGGAGCTCCACAGGAGGAAAGGGAAGAAGGCAGGTGACGGTCTGGAATACACGTGCTTCTCGCACAGGCGGAGGGAGGGCGGACAGGAGGAGAAGAGGCACAGGGACCAGGCGGGCCCTGTCTTCGGACACAGTCCAGCACCAGTGCAGGAAAATGGCCACCTGACTGTCAACCTGAAAAGGCTTGTCCTACACCTGTATGAAGCAGCACGTCAAAAGGACTTGATTTCCCCTCTTCTGAGAGTAGACTTCCCAAGTTAGCAGCCATGTTGGAGATCATTTGAATCAACGTTCTCATCACACAGATGAGTCGACAGAGGCCCAGAAAGGCAGAGATTTGCCTGAAGTCTCTCAGCTACCTGGTGGCAATGTCTAGACTGGATTCTTTACCTCAACTCCAAGCTCTTTGTATCAGCATCATTGCTTTGCTACCCGACCCCAGCATCCAAGAGAGACTGGTAAGCTGTATAAGCAGAGCAGGATAATGGAAACTGTCAACCCTTAAGACAATTTATAAAATATACATGTGCAGCCGCATTATATTTATAAATAAAACGTGGTCAAATATTGATGCAGAACTGAAATGATCTAAGTAGGAGCAGCATATTTAGAAGGATACCTAGATGAGTGATACTTAATACACCCATTGACGCTTCCCAAAGATTTCCACGTGTGCTTTACACAATTGATCTATGTATTGTGATGAATTGTATGAGCCCCAATAAATTGATTAATTAAAAAAAAAAGATTTCCACGTGGAAGATTGTTTCCTAGGGAATTTGTATGAAAGTTTTATTGAGATATAACCTGCATCCCGTAAGATTTAAAATGTACAGGTCATTGGCTTATAGAGCTGCATAACAGGCATCGCTAATTTTAGATCATCTTCATAAACCCCAAAATAAACCCTATATCCTCTCGCAATCACTCCCCATCCCTGTGTCACCCCAGACTCGGGGCCCTACTCTGCTTTCTCTCTCTACCGACTGATCGATTCTGTACGTCACCGCATATTAATAGACTCACACGGCACCGGCCTTGAGTGACTTGCTTCTTTCACACAGCATAATGCTCGCTGTAAAACTGTCTTGTTTTATGATATGACACCTTAATTTCCATTCATCAAAATGTACCTTTAATTACACAGGTTAATAAAAATGACTGCCCTTCCAACCCTCATCAGCCAAAAATCATTTCTCTGCCCTTCATTTCCTTATTCCATTATCAGTTTTCCCAATATACCTCTCTTTATTTTCTATTTTGAACCATAATTATTTACACGGATGGCTTGTCTTTACCACAATTCTAGAAGCACCCTTCATTAATGCCCTTACTATGTACAGAGTGCCAAGCACACGCCAAGCACTGTGCAGGGGAATTCTAGACAAGAGGCTGTGCTTACTTTGAATTCCTGAAAACATCAGTTACATCATTTACTGTATTATCATCTATGCCTCCGAGATTTCACTAGCTCTCGGTCCTTAAGAAAAAGGTAGCTTTTTGAAGACAGGCACGTACCCAAGAGCACAGAAGGAGAGGGTGGGGGGATGTGGAGTTAACACCAGTGGGAACAAGAAGGAAGGAAAACCTCCCAAGTTGATAGTGGTGATGACTACACAACCCTTTTTATTATGGTTGAACGACTGAACTGTATGATGTGTTCATCACAGCTCAGTAAAAAAAAAATTTTTTTTTAAAGGCTTACTAAAACCAACCTTTCAATGATGGATTACTAACTGAAATTTTGGAAGTTCAAACTCATCCAGAGGATCTTTGGGGTCATCATGAACCAGAATCAACTCAACAGCAACTAACAATAGCAACCGGAAACAAATCCCCGGCGCACAGATACACAGTCAGCAATTCTTTATGGGTGCTATTTTGGGGTGTCACCACACCAGTCCCTGACTCCTGGTGACACGCTGGACACCGAAAGGCACCCTGCCGGGTCCTGCGCCAGCCTCACAGTCCCCGCTGTGCGCCAGCCCACGGTGCCAGTCCAGCTCTCGCTTTTTCGCTTTCCCGAGCACGATGTACTGGTTCCTCCTGAAAACATGTCCCAAGTACTCGTGAGGAAGCCTCTCCATCTTCGCTTCTCAGGAGCATCCTGGCTGTTCTTTTTCCAAGACGGATGAGGTCCTTCTCTTAACAGTCTCTCGGACATTCTGTCGTGGTCAACACCCCCAAATTCAAAGGCATCGGTTCTCCTGCAACCGTTCGCGTTCATTGCCCAGCTTTGGCAGAAGAACATGCCTTTGGTCAGGTGTCTTAGTCTACAAAGTGACACCTTCACTTTGGAACACTTTCAAGAGGCCTTTTGTAATAGCTCTGCCCAGGGCGCTCTGATGTTGGATGTCCTGACACCCGCTCCGATAGGAGCTAATTGTGTTCCAAAGTACAATGAAATCCTTGACCACGTCAGTCTTTTCTCCATTTATCATCATGTGAGCTACTGGTCCAGTTGTGAGGATTTCTGTTTTCTTCTGTTCTTCATGTTGACCTGTAGTCCGTAGTGAAAGCTGTATTCGTTGATTGACAGTCATGCGTGTTTCTTGTCCTCTGTTTTCAGCAAACCAAGTTGTACCATCTGCCGACCGCCAATTGTTAATGAGTCTTCTTCCATCTTGATACTGTGTTCATCTTCATAAAGCAGATTATTGGCTGAATACTCAGTTTCTCAGATTGAATAAATATGGTGAAAGGATATAACCTTCGTGCATGCCTTTCCTGGCTTAAATGCACACAGACTCCTCTTGTTCAGTTTGAACGACTGCATCTTGGGTCTGCATAATCACATCTAAGTGTGCGGAAATCTCCATTCTTTGTAAAGTTGGCCATAGTTTGTATGATCCGCATGTCAAACGCCTCTACGTGTCAATAAAACGCGGGTACACGCCTTTTGGTATTCTCCACTTTCAGCCTAGCGCTATCTGCCTTCAGCAATGACATGCCTTGCTCCGTGTTCTCTTCTGAATCTCACTTTAACTTCTGGCAGTTCCTCTTCAATGTACTCCTGCAATCATTCTTAATTATCTATGCCAACATTTTACTTACTTGATATTCATTATATTGTTCGGTAATTCCACATTCTGTTAGATCACTTTTCTTTGGAATGGACACACAAAAAAGTATGCTTTGGTCTTCCAAATTTCTTGGCATTGACAAGTGAGTACTTCCTTTTTTTTTTTGTTTTACATCAGACAAGTGGCAAATCTCTTCATGCAATCTGTTACACGTGAGTACTTCCAATACTGCCTCCATTTGTTGGAATGTCTCATTTAGCATTCTGTCCATTTCCAGAGCCTTGTTTGTCACCAATGCACTCAGTACAGCTTGGACTTCTGTCTTTTTTTTTTAAATCAATTTATTGGGGCTCATACAATTCATCACAATACATAGATCAATTGTATAAAACACATCTATACATTTGTTGCCCTCATTATTCCCAAAATTCGCTTGCCTCTTGGGTTCCCGGAATCAGCTTATTTTCCTTTTTTCCCCCCCTCCCCTTCCCTTCCTCCTCCCCTCTCCCCCATGCACCCTTAATAATTTATAAATTATTATTGTATCTTATATTACACTGTCCGGCGTGGACTTCTGTCTTTAATACCATAGGTTCTCAAACATATTTGACCTTCCAACTGTACGGAAATGAACACCAGCTAACTATTTTTGCCATAGTGCCTCTATGTATTGCTTCCATCTTCTTTTGGTGCATATAGTGTCTGTCAATATTTTGCCCACAGAATCTTTCAATACTGCAAATTTTTCCCCCACAGAATCCCTCAATATTGAAACTTGAGACTTGATTTTTTTCTTTAATTCTTTCAGCTTGAGACATGTTGAACATGTTTTTCCCTTTTGGCTTTCTCCCATGTTAGTTTGGGTAGACTAGAGCAACAAATTCATAAACATGCATATGCGTGTAAGAAAAAGCTTTATATACAAGAGCAATTGAATATTGAGAAAACATCCCAGCCTAGTCCAGGTCAAGGCCATAAATCCGATATTAGTCCATATGTCAATTACCAGTCTATAAATTCCTCTTCAGACTCATGCAACACATGCTGTGATGCCAAATGCAGGAAGGTCACAGGCCAGTGGATAGAAAGTCTTATGGGTCCAGTAGTGGTGGAAGCATCTCAGCGCTGGCCTGCGTCTCCACGTGACTCCTCAGCTCCAGCACTCTAGCTGCATCAGCCTCTCTCTGTGTGGCTTGTCAACAGCAATGTCTCCCAGGGAGTGAGCATGCATCCCACTTCCAGTGAGCTATTTATCTCAGCGCCTCCAAATGAGGTCATCAACCTGCAATCTGATTGGCAGGCTAAACTCCACCCCTTCACTCTTAAATCTCAAAGTGACAACAGATTACACAACTACCACATAACCCCAGGTCTTATCACGTTTCATTATAATACTTTGTTTTTCCATCTAGCCTTTGAAATTTTCTCTTCAACTGTTTGCATGGTATTGTTTCTTCATTTTATTTGGTGTAAGACCAAGTGTTAGTCTCTTCTGACATCTATTTTGGTCATTTCTTATTTTCCTGACTCAATTATCTTTAGACTTTCTCCATGTGTGATGTGCTTGATATCATCCACACCTCATCTGGTGTCTGGCCATTAGTGTACCTTGAATCAACTCTGTTCTGGAGGTGTTCTCTAAATTCAGGTGGGATATGCAATATGCTCAAGGTTATATTTTGGCTGCTGTGGGCTTACTTTAACTTTCTTCAATTTAAACTTGAATTTGCATATGAGGAATTAATGTTCTATTCCATAGTCAGCTCTTGGCCTTGTTCTGACTGATGATATTGACCTACTTGGTCATCACTTTCAAAACATAACCTATTTCACTCTTGTATCATCCATTCAGTGAGGTCTATGTTCTTGGTAATTGTTTGTATTGTTGAAAAACGCATTTGCAATGAATAAATCCTTGATCTTGTAGAATTCTAGTGTGCAATCTCTATTATCATTTCTATCACCAAGGCCATGTTTCCCAGGTACACCAATCCTGCCTTTTTATTTCCAATTGTGCACTTCGATCACCAGTAATTACTAGTGGGTGCATCTTGATTGCACATTCAATCAATTTCAAATTGCAAAATTTGGTAGTAAAAAACAAACAAACAAACTTTAATTTCTTTATATTGCTATCAGTTGGTGCTTAAATTTGAATAATAAAAGACTCACTAACCGGTCTTCCTTAAAGGCCTATACGTAGATGTTATCCTACTTCTGACAGTGTACTTCACCACACATCCTGAAATAGCTTTGACCATGAATACACCAGCCCTCTACAATTTGTCCTAGCTGGCACAGTCAGACCATTTGATGGTCTCCCTCCAAATGGTCCATATCAGTCCACTTCAGCCAGCAGGAGCCCAAGCTCTGCTTTATGCAGCCCACTTCTTTTTTGAGAACTTCCAGTTTTCTTACTTGGATTTCTACTTTATCAGGAAAACCCAAGACAAATCTATGCATTTGAATTATGGTGTTGGAGAAGAATATGGAGCGTGCCAAGAACTGCCAAGAACAAAAAACAAGGACGGCCAGACTTGGTCTCGTGCCCTTTGGGCATCTTACCAGCAGAGACCAGTCCGTAGAAGGAACACCAGGTTTAGTAAAAGAGAGGGGCAGAGAAAAGGGGGCAGCCCTTGACAAGACGGAGTGCAACAAGGGGCATGTGTAAAGATGGCCCACGACCGGCCGGAGGTGATTCTGTCATACATCGGGTCACTGTGATTCAGAAGAGACTAACAGCACCTGACCACAACACAGGCCACAGTCTGGCGATGACGGTCGGGGCTCTTTCTTTCCTTTTGAGTCATGCTCCATCAACCATTGGAGGTCCCGCAAGCTTTACTTTTTCAACTTGGCCTGGCAGAGGACGCTCTTCAACAGTGGCACTGTTTTCCAAACTGAGGGGGCATCTGCCAGCCCTGCATCAGGCAGGGTTGCACAGCCCCCCAAGGTGTGCACTGGCTAACTCTGTCAGAAGTCGACCACAAGTCCTCTTGCCCTAATCTGCCTTCGTCTGGAAATGCAGCTGAAACCTGCCCAACAGGTGACCCTGCTTCCAGCTTCACAGCCAACCACCACAGTACACGAGTCCTGGAACATCTCCTTCCGTGCCCTGTGTTCATCCACTGTGCCACCTTCCATTCCATTCCACTGCAGAGAACAGGGGCAGGCTTCTCCCAAAGGGGGAAAGGGGTGAGTGTGTCATAGAAATTCGCAGTTGGTAGCCTCCAAAATGAATCTGTTTGGGTTAATGATTAATCAAGCTTGACATTTCAAAGTACTCTGTCATACCTTGGCTGCACATTATCTTCAATAGACAGTGATAAGGTTTCCATTTCTTCAGCATTTAAGCCCAGCTCAGTGCCATAGTTCTGCTGGATTAGTTGCCAGAATTCCTGCTTGGTTAAGCTCTAAAATGACAGTAAAGTTACACTAAGTATCAGGAAAAGATGGTGTGACACAGTGATTCAAAACATGTACTTCTGAAGACAGAAAGACCTGCTGTGTCACTGTTAGCTGTGTGACGTTCGTACCTATTTACCTTTAGACCGCGGTTTTTCTAGCTGTCAGAGTGGGTAATAAAACCTACCTGACAGAGTTGCTATGGACAATAGAAGGCTTACAAAGTACCTAATATTTTAACTGAAATAAATGAGAGGTTAAATGATTTTTTTACAAAAAGTTTTTATAGCTTCTGGTGATCACTAATCTGCAGTTAAAAATCTGCAATCCAATCAGTCTATCACGACCATAAGCTGATCTAAATATGTAAATAAATGCTAAAACCTTATATGCTAATACATTTTCAATCATATTTTCTTAAAATATAAACTGCAAGGCACTGCTAGATTTCTGAATAAGGTGCCCTGGTGGCACAGTGGGTCAGGCAAGGGGCTGCAGACTGACTGCAAGTTCGACAGTTCGAATCCGACAGTGGCTCTGTGGGAGAAAGATGAGGCTCTCTACTCTAATAAAAATTAACAGCCCTGTGTCGATAGGATCAGGTATCAGGCATCATCAGAACAAAAAATCATATCATTGTGAATGACGGGGAGTGTGGAGTGGGGAGGCACTGGGTATCCACTTACAGAAGGGTCGCGGGGAGGAGACGAGCCAGTGTAGTGTAGCAATGATGAAACATACAACTTTCCTCTAGTTCTTTAATGCTTCCTCCGCGCCACTATCATGATCCCAATTTTACCTTACAAATCCGGCTAGACCAGTGGATGTACACTGGTACAGATAGGAACTGGAAACACAGGGAACTCAGTACAGATGAACCCCTCAGGACCAGTGGTGAGAGTGGCAATACCAAGAATGGCAAGAGGAGGGAAGGTCGGGTAGAAAGGGGGAACCGAAAAGTGGATGAAGGGAGACATCGGGCAGTGTAAGATATGACAAAACAATAATAATTTATAAATTATCAAGGATTCATGGGGGGGGCGGCGGGAGGGAAGGGAAACATTGAGGAGCTGATTGATACCAAGGGCTCAAGTAGAAAGCAAATGTTTTAAGAATGATGATGGCAATAAATGTACAAATGTGCTTGACATAACGGATGGTAAAATGATTTTTTTTTAAAATCCTCGATCACAGTGTGGATCGACAAGATTATCATATTAAAAGAGTGATCAGATTGCATATACTTGAAACAAAATAAATGCAAAGAGCACGATAATTTTCTCTTTAAAAAGTTAATAGCCTCATAAACCCTAGGGAGCATTTCGATCCTGTCCTTTAAGTTCACTAAGATTTGGAATTGACTCAATGGGAGTGCATTAGGTTAGGATGTTTCCTTTGATTTACCTATAATCAAGTTGTTTGTTCTGTATAGGTGTGTTAAAAATCATTAAAAGTAACAAAGTCACCCATTACATAGCAAAACAAGAACAGGTATCATTATGATAACCAACTGTCTGATTTCTAGAAACATTGAAACAGAGGAGAACTGACCCATAGGTTTTATTTATGGAATCAGGCCACGTCTTTCTTCAGCAGAGCCACTGTGTGGGTTCAAACTGCTGACCTTTCGGCTAGCTGTGGAGAGCTTAACCTCTGTGCCAACTAGATGCCTTCTAGGCCCTTTGTTTACGGTTGATTACACGATTAGGAAATGTAACACTCATGTAATGCTTGAGGCAATTTGGGGCAAGACTAGCATTCAGTCAATCAATATTTATTAAATGCATATCACTGCTCTAGAAGCAAAGGAGGATAAAATGAGATACATGTTAAGCTCCTTATTCTCAAATAATTTTTAATATAGGCAGGAAGATATGGGAGACTCTTAAGTAGAGTTAACCACGACAAGCTACCATTTGATGAATGAGTCAATAAAGCACTGGTGGAATCAACAAGATAGATATATGACTGCGTGATCGATCAGGGTTATTAGAGAACACTTCCCATCAGCTCAGGGTATCCAGCTGAGTTAAGGGAAGAACATCAATAGGGAAAATGAGGGTATGGGAAAATCTGGGGAGAGGAAAGCCAACACAAAACACAGAATAAACACAGGGACTTCAGTAAGGTTTGTTTTGAAGTCTAAGAATGGTTTATGTGCCTAAGTGAAGTAAAACTTTCGAGTTGGGAAATCGGAGAGATCAGAAGATAGAGATTTAAAATGTACAGATGCCTTGGTTTCCTCCCGAGATGCCTTACAGCCAATGCCACTTTATATGCCTTTCCCTTGTTTCTTCTGTCGCTGAGGTACTGTTGCTAGGTTACATGAGATGGCCTTCATTGTGTTTCATGAAACCATAGAAAGATTAAGTGTAAACTTTAATTCTTTAGACCACTAGTTGCCAGTCTGCAGTGCCCACTTGGATTCCACACAAGGAGTTGCTGAAAACTGAGGTATTATTGTTGGCATTTCAAAAATGTCCAACTGGTTACCATAGTGAAGCTAGCTATTCACACTAAGTAAAAAGCTAAGCTTCGTTGTTTAGGGATGAGTAATATTAACTATAGTGATTATCAGAGGTTAATTAGAAGCTCTCAGTGGAAATAATGCACGTCCAATAAATATCAATATTCTAGTATGTTATTATTGAACATGCATCACATATTTGGAACACAGGGTCCACCAAAGAAAAACTTTGAAAGATTACTAGTGTGGAGAAAGTTGGGCATCGTTGTGCTTGATCTCACAGGTATCCCCACATTGCCTGTCTGCCTCCTACTCCAGAGAAGTCCCCATGTGACTTTGTTGCCCCCACAGTAATAGCCCAGACTGCTAAGCCATTCCTTTTTCCAATGAGATCCATTTTGAAGCATTTCCTGCATCATAAAAGGATCATTATCCTTATAAAGAAAATTAGTTCAAGACATTTGAAGATTAACTTTCCACAAAAACTTTTCTGAAATCATAGTTGTCAAACCATTTCAAAGACAAGTAAATAAAACAATGATGAATACTCAGCTCTTAAGAATGGAGAGGAAATTTACACTACAAATAAAATACTAACAAAAGTACATGCCTATTGGACTGTATCAGGAGATGGTTGAAATATATGAGAATTATCAAACACTATCAAAGTGATAAAGACCCGACTCACTGCCATCGAGTGTATTCTGACCCGCAGCAACCCGGTGGGGTAGGAGAGAACTGCACCTGTGGGCTTCTGAGACTGTAACTCTTTACAGGAGTAGAAAGCCCCATCTATCTCCCATGTGGTTTCGAACTGCACATCTGTGGAGCACTGGTGACACAGCGGATCACACGTCGCGCTGCTTACCATAAACAGTCCCAAAGCACCAGCCACTCACCACTTCACAAGAGAACGATGAAGCTTTCTACTCCTGTCGAGAGTCCAGGTCTCAGACACCCACAGGCACCGTTCTAGTCTGTCTTATAGAGTCGCGCTGAGTCAGACTCCATGGTCAGTGAGTTTTTGTTTTGTTTTTTTCAATCCAAATAATCACTGCTCAGGCTGAGTGTATTTTCATACTCATCATTCATTCAATAATCAACAGCCGAGCCAATCTGCGTATGGAACCTTAGAAATGAATTTACATTGTAAAGAAAGACTGACCACCTACCTGCAAAGAAAGGTGAGTCCCCTGCGTTCAGCCTACCGAGGCTACTGAACAAAATAAAGATGAACCAAGCCGAAATCAGATAAGGCTCCGGAGTCAGAAGCTCAATTGCTGGCCCGGAAAGCTTTGTAGCCTGAGCATGCTGCCGGGTCTTCAACTAACAGCTGCAGAATTCCAATGATTTCATGACTAATATGTAAAACCTGTGCTCCAAGTGCATGATGTGGCTGTGAGGAGCTTTTCCGTCAAAAAGACAAGCTCCAGTGGGGTTTACAAGTGCGATTCGTCACTTCCTGGTTTGCAGTGTCAGCCCTTTCTAAGGTTGCTGGTCAGAATACAGAATTGGAAGTTACACCTCACTCTACAGGTTCCTAAGCCCCTCCTACTAGAAGAGGCTAGGTAAACAGGATTTTATTAAAGGGACCGCTCTCAGTTTCTTCAGTTCTATGCGTAGCTCGGGAGCAAACAGTAAAATGCCAGCGGAAATACCTTGCTGATGTTCAATGAAATAAAATGCTTATTAAATATGATTTAATTTCATCTTAAAATTTGAATGTGCGACGGTGTCAAATTTCTTCTCCGTGCTAATAACTTTTATTCCATGCTAGTGATGGCATAGCCGCTTTTGAATTTACCATTTCTTCAACGTGATGGAGCACCGCTGCCAGATGTTTGCCTTAACTATGCCTGCCTTTGACTATCATCAAAGCTTGTACGTCAGGGTTGTAAAGAGAAAGTCAGGCAACAGCAAGAAGCCAGCGGGTCCAGGGGTGCAATTCCTATAAGCAGCTGGCATACCCTTCCACACGGGAAAATTTAAGCAGCAACTTGATTACTCAGTATATCTTTCCTCTAAACACAATTTTGAACGTGTTTTTTAAAAGTGTGTACCCAAAACATTTTCTGGTAGGGATCTGGACTCTAATAAGCACTACAGAGAATCTCACTGACCAATTTCAACTTCTTCCCCAAAATGAAAATTTTGATTCTAAATGACATTAAAACTTGCCCTAATGGCTAGCTATCGATACTCATCCCATCTAATTTAGTAAAGCACATTCAAATACTAGATGCATGGCAAGAACCAAAATGAGGCGGCAGGGGTGGGGGGGATAGTTTCCTAAAATCTAACCATTTTTTACAGTCAGAATGAGAGACCGGAATGGCAGTAGAGAATAGTATTCACACAGAATGTAAAAAGCACACTATGATGGACTAGCAAGCACCAGCTAAAAGGATGCTGGGGCTAGAACTACAGATAGTCAGGCACCAACAAAGTCCATGTAGAAGAAGCACTTCAGACTGTGTGAGCCAAGGATTGTAAATAATAGCATCCAAATCTGAAGGACGGAATAGTATCAGAAAGTAAATTGTGAACACCTGGGTTGCATAAGGCTCTGGATGACAATGGGAGTCCAAATTCCATGTGCAGGGTCTACACATAAATTGAGCCTCAGGTGAATTCCCTCTGACCACCGAGGCATGTAAATAGCCTTGTTATCGCTAGAATAGTACTGTAGAGATGATTATAGTAGATGTAGTTAGGTTATAAAATGTAACATCTAATTTGATCCATTCAAAAGTTGTACCAGTTTTTGTTTTTTTAAAGTGTGAAGGGGAAACCCATGTCGATTGAGCCTCCAGTGAATTCCCTCTGGTCATAGGGCAGGGACGTGAACTGTCTTGCTATTACACACAGTGCAGACAGGTTAAAATTTAACACCTTGTCATTTGATCTGCCTTTGGAGCCATTTTAAAGTTGTTCTAGTTGTTAATATTTGGGGCTTTCTTTTTGATTAAGGCTTTTCTCTTTCATTTAGTTATTGTTAGCAGCTTCTTCTTCTTCTTTTGATATGGTTTTCACCATATGAAACCCAGGATCAGTGAATCTATAGATACACAGTAACTGGATTAATGGTTCTTGGGGGTGTGGCGGGGGAATTAGGGGGAAATGGGGAGCTAATAGCCAGGAGTACAGGAAAGATGAAAATGTTCTAAAATTAACTGTGCAACTCTTCTTGATGTGATTGAACTATTGAATTGTATGATATGTGTACTGTCTCGATAAAACTTAAAAAAAAAAAAGAACTATGGATAGGTCTACTTCCCCTACCATGATATCCAAAGAGGCATGAGAACAACGCAAATGAGTGGCACTATAATTTATTCCATATACATTTGGTACATGTAAAAATCTCTGTAGCAAGTCAGTACACTTTAGAGCAGTATTAAATTAATACATACAAGAACGCTTGGTATCCAAAGGGTGAGTTCAGAAGTGTCCAGAGAAAGACATTGAAATAAATGTCAGGGAGGTGAGAGGGAAGTCTAGGAAGAATAAAGGAAGAAGGGAGGGGAGGATATGGAAGGCGTGTGCAATGGGGTCACGGGCTACTAAAGGATCACGTAAGATAAGGATGTGATGAGCACGCAGGATGACAAAGGGAAGCATCCAGGGAGTGGAACAACTTGGCAGGCTAGGTCTTCGCGACAAGCATGTGACAAGAGTCAAGAGGGAGAAGCCAGGTCACAGGTCTTCTCAGGCATCCATACAAGTGGGGAGGCTGCATTGTCAAAATACGAAAAGCATAGTGTCACATAGAAAAATAACAAGTTTAGAATTGTGGTTTGGAAAAAAAGAAAATAAAAGAATTGTGGTTTGGTTTGGTCTTTTCAAAAGGACTTTGGAGGTAGAACATTAAACACAGTATTAGGCCAATTAATGGGATGTCGTCCCAGTTCATGGGTGAAATCCTGACGCTAAGCCTCCGAACCAAGAAACCAAATCTCATGCGGAGCTTGGTGATATGTTAGCAGTCTTAACAGCGCTTAGTTTATTGCTTGTTGTTACACACATGCCTATCACACAAGTTTTGCCAATTCGACAAGTGCACAACTGACAGCAATTTCACTGATCGGATATACACCCCGATCCAGAATCTGTTCTAACTCCTAGATCACTGCGTACTGCCTGGAACTTTAAACCTTTGCAAGTGGCCATCTAAGACACAACAATTGGCCTTGATTCCCTGGAGTAACAAAGGAAGGAGGGTCAAGAACAAAACTAAAATCAAACCTACTGCCAAGCAAGTCAACTCCAACTCATAGCAACCTTATAAGGGCTTCCATGACTGTAAATCTTTATGAAGCAGCCAGCCTCATCTTTCTCCCATGGGAGAGTTTGAACCATCAACCTTATGGTTAGCAGCTGAATGTTTATCCCAGAATGCCACAAGGGCTCCCTTAAGAAACAAAGGAGAAGTGTCAGGAATAGGAAGGAGGAGTGAATGCATGGCTAAGTGCCTCCATGAGCCACCGACTCCTTTGCCATGAGACCAGAAAAACTGGATGTATGGTACCTAGCTATCTATCATTACTGAATATTTTAATCAAAGATTTTATGGAAGAATCCTGACCCAAAGGGAAAGGAAAAGTAGAACAGAATCTCAAATTTTCATCTATGCATATTCTCTAGAGTCACAGCGGTGGGATGAACTTCTGCTCTGAGAAAAGCTTAAGCCTTAAACTAAAAATGTCCCCTGACATCTTCTTAAAATCAAGCAGTAGTGGAGCTTAACTACTACATGATGTCAGCCTGGAGCACGGTCCTCCATTAAGAGTTATCTATATGGAATCAAGATGAGAACAGCAACTCGGAAGGTGTGAGGGAAAAGTGGGGAGCAGTGAGTTGATGTCAATGTGCGAGGGACCCTTCGGGTCAGGAAGTGAGAAGGTTGAATAACATGAAAAATACAATCAATATGACTGAATTGTAATATCAAAAATATTGAATTTCTGTATGCTCTGTGGAGTCTATTCTCAACAACAAAAGGAAATAAATTTAAAAGAATGACTTGGGCAACTACCCAGGGCACAGCGTGCTAAACAGGCAGCGTTAGGAACAACCAAGATTGTTGCAATGGTTCGTGCTGGCACTCATTTAGACCTTAGTAACACCTGGACAGAGTAGGAAAGGAAGTAAGAAATAAGAATACGTCCAGGTTTCCAGGTGGTGATGTGGTTTAGGGACTCAGGGAGAAACAAAAAAAAAGGGTTAAACATATGAAAATGAATACTTGGAAACTGCTCAAATATTTACCAGATGTGATGACAACAGTTAACAATTTTCCATGCGTTTCCAAGTAAATTGGAATGTTTATTGGTTGATGAGCCTAGTGGAAAACTTACTCTGAAAGGAATGACCATTGGCGTTTCATAAGGAAGCATGAGGAAGAAGGCCGGCTGTCATGCTCCCACCAGGGCTCGGAGGGTGACGCCTGAGCTGTTTGGAAACAGACTTCAGCACTGCCTCAGCGCAACCCGAGTTGAATGCGCTCAGGAGGACGGGTCAGCGCTGGCTGAATTAAACAAGCCATACTTACAACGTCACATCGTTCTATAATTACTCAGTGGCCAGCATATGAGTTCTTACTAGGAGCATAATCCTTACTCATGCTAAAACTCTCCTCCCCAGGGGACCTGAATACCTGAGATGTCAGATGAGCCATCAGAACGTTGCATGGTAAGCGTGGCATCAGAGCATAGGAGGCAGCTTGGCGAGGTTCAATGATTCATCTCTGTACTTCTCTATTGACCAAAGTCTGCCTCTGTGAACTTACTCTTTTTGACTCTAGCCAACATTCCTCTGAACTATCATATTCTTTCCTTACATACCTTAATTCATCCAATCAACAGTTTTCATTCTTATTTTCCACTGAGGGAGCCCTGGTGCTGTAGTGGTTACCAGGTAGGCTGCAATCCCCACAGTCAGCAGTTCACAACCACCAGCTGCTCCCAGGGAGAAAGACCCATATTCTCCTTCTGTAAACAATGTCTTGGAAATTCAAAGGTGGGTCTAGCCTGTCCCATAGACTCACGATGAGTAGGCATCCATTCAATAGCCCTGAGTTTGAGTTTCTATCTGAGGACTGTGAGACCCGTCTGTCACCCTTGTATTCATGATCCCCAACATAGAAGCTGCAGTGACGTGTACCAGAATTTGGGGAATGTGCTTGTATCCTTTGAGAATAGGCTCCAGAGTCACTCTACAATTGAAAATGAGTATACATTTCTGCTTCTTTAAGCCCTCTACGCACTTTTACATTTGAGGAGAATTCGCTCCTGGAAGCCTCCACATGTTGATAACAGATCATGCTGTATCGATGAGAACAAGTGAAAAAGAGTACAGACAGTCTGCATATATCCTGCTTC